GAGATAGTGCACGAACGTTCTCTTCTTGAACGATCGTCCGAGTCATCTTTGGAAATACCTCACTTCAGTAGAAAAATATCAGCTAGTTTATATTTCCCATAATAAAATTTCGATATGTGCACAGCAGAACCAGATAGTCCGTTCGACTACTAAAGTCATCTATAACAGTAAAACTTTATGAACCATTTGTCAAACCGAAATCTTTCATTGTTTGACAACCGTGCCGATTTAGTTTCACTTGATCTTTTAATAACTGTCCGTAATAACCCCAGTTTGCCTGTGCGTAACCCTGACAAAACAATGAGAGGTTTTGTCTGTAAACTGATTTTATCTGTCCAGTAGAGGATGGAAATTGAATGAAATTGAGGATGTTACTGATTATCCACAAATGACAGAGAGCAAGATTGTAAAGGCGTTGGAGTATACATCGATAAATACATACACGCATTAAGACGCAAGAAAACCATGCATCTCCTAGAAGAACGAAACAAGAGGGGCTGGACGGGAAGGACGGAGGTATTAGTGGGAAGGCAAGAACAGAACCTTAAATGTGCTGGCCTGAACTGAATGAGCAGTAGCTTTGCTTACTCATCACACGCTAAATGACTTCGAAGGACAGATACATAGGCACATGGTTGGGTATGCATGTCCATAACAACGACCTGGTGGGGCAGACAAACACACACACCCCATATGTTTGAAATAATGAAACACTATACGAATACATACACGAATGTATATATATATATATGTGTATATATGTATATATGTGTTTGTATGCATACATGCATGTGTGCCAGTAAATAAGCAAAAGAAAACCCTAAATGTATACAACGACAGTCTGTGTTGTGAGGCATGCATTGTGTGTGCGACTACCCTATCGGAAAGGGAGTAGGGGACGGGAGAAGACAAACTATCCGCTGTAGCCCCTGGGTCTCTGTAGAGTACATGCACGCTTTTTTAACTTGTCTGCAATTGTTAGCGTATGTGTGTGCGCTCGCGTGTCATTCAGAAACGTAATTCGATGACAAGTGCGAGGCACACGATGCGGTGTCATCGAGTGACAATGCACGTGTGAGTGGGAGCAATAATTGGAGATCGACAGGTATCCACTCAAATGATCTGGAATTTCAGGGAGTGCAGTGTTCTATGATACTAACTCTCCTGTCTAGAAATGAGGTTTGGTTTGATATGAATACCGTTCAACGTATTAGTATCTGTACATCCCCACGAGGATTGTGGTTGCTGAAGAAGGTGATGATGTGGATGGTGATGGGGGTTATGGGGATGAGGTAAATTTTCTGTCAGATTGAAGCCTATAACGTTGGGCCCTTTGGTTTGGGGTAAAATCTCGACAGATGGACCGTTGGATTTGTCCGCTCTGATCAGGGTTTGTACTGCGGCTCGTGGGTACCGCAATCCTAAGCTTGGTGTGGTTGATGAGGCGCGCATACTGCTGGCGGTCGTAAGATCTTCATTCCCATCAAGGTTGTCAAATGTGAATTTGTCTTTCATCACTGTTGATGCCGTCGATGGGCCACTGATAGCCGAGGTTGGGGAGGGTAATGGGGTACCACTGGGCAAAAGATGAAGCAACGAAGAACCACAACGTGTTGGCGCACCTCTTGTTCGATATTCCCGATGCTGTGGTTTGCCTCCTTTAGAAGAATGATCTAGCAGTGTATCGTAAACGGTGGATGGGAGATGACGTTTTGACCAGTCTGTGCGAACCGATTTCGGCCCTGGCCAGGGGGCTTGATTAGTGTCTGTAATTCTCCATTTCTCATCGGCATTTGGTAAACCGATGCGATGTGGATTTTCATGCTCCGATTGATAACCGGTTGAGTCGCTAAGACCTGAGCGTGTATGATGCTTCGATGGGGAACAAGTACAATTTGAAGGGCCGGGTAAAATACAACATGGTTGCCAAAATGTACAAAATATCAGAGTAGTGATAAGTCCGCCCACCAGGACACTGCAGATTGCAACCAGGATAAGGTGTGTCATGGTGAATCCGTTTCTGGTCATCGTCGAGGTTCCACGAGCCTCACGTAAATCAGAAATTCCTGATTTTTCATACAATGGACCTGAAAACACAAATATGCAAAAAATATATCTACAGTTAGCATGATGACTAAGCCTTCTGGTCGCATTATGATGCTCATGATAAAGGTGCATACAAGTCAGAAGCTAAAATAACATCCTTTTATCTACCCCTTGTGGTTGTGAAGGTCAGAAAAGTTAACTCGATGCCATAAGGGGAGTGTGGTTTGTCAAATGACGGTTCTATATGAACGTGTAGCCATGGGCAAAGACAAACTTGTTTTTCAATACCGGTGAGGTGTTTATAACAAATTTCATGTGAAAACCTTTGACGATTATAGCTAAAAATTTGAAATGGTAACTCATTGTATTGTTTAGGAAACACTTTTGAACTCCAGGAAAAGCCAATTTCAGTTTGATTTATTAGAGGTGATCCATGTATTTATCGCACAAATGCCTCATTGCCCTCAAAGTATGGTATGAAGCAGACAGGGTTAAGTACAAGTAAGTCAGTTGTTTCAAAGCGCAAATAGCTTGCTCCGAGAATCTTGGGATAAGGTGGTGTCCAAACAGAATGACCTTGTCTATCTGGCTGACTGAATAAAGTTTATTGGCTGCAGTCATGCTTTCAGTAACACCGATGCTGGTCAACCTTTATTGAGATAAAAATGGTGAATGACTAATGGACGCAATCACGTAATTATAAGTTTTCCTTTCCTTGTGGTCCACAAATAATCCATTGCGTCATACTCGGCTGAGTAGATTGGTATGGTGTATATCATTCCTGGAAACAAAAAGCGCTATCAAACCTTGTTTCGTTTGGATCCTCAGCACAATGAACCTACCCCCCATCATTCCAATAAACCTATTTAATCGAACCTCAGTGACTCATAGTTTAAGTCGAAGCAATATGATTCACCTGATTGTCTTTGGTGTTTCTGACAAAATAGGGGAAAATTAATACACATTTGGCTCGGTAGTAAACTTTTCTTCAGTGTCTTGAGTTTTCAGAACTGCAGTAATTGGCCATTATCACCCATCATGATCATGCGGGTAAATTGCATGATAATAATCGTTCTGAGTGAAGGAGACAACACATCGCATGACCAGACTGTGACTCTTTGCTCATTCGATTTCAGTCACCTTGATTGCTCTATTATTCAGCATGTGGAAAAAGAGGCGATGTGCTCTCTCTCTCTCTCTCAACTTGAACACCACAAAAAGGAAGTAATTTTTGTAAAGTGGAATTATTTAACTCTTAGATTTTATTGTACCTGGTTAGCTTTTGAGATACAACAACTATTCTACCGCGGTGTTTGTGGTAACACGGAAGATATAAATGACTCCTATCTGTAAGTGAAGGAATTTGTTTTACAATCGTGGCATGATTTATATCTTACCGAACTGTCCTATTCTATCGTACCAAAGTTCAGGATGAAGGTAGTGAATTTACCTCGAGATATTCCTATTTCAAGGTATTTGCTTCGAAAATCCCATACTATCATTATTCAATACATGTAGTATTTAGACATAGTTTGGGGATAAAAGTTTGGCAGCATTTCTACCACGGTCCCAGCGGAACACCGTTTACAAGAACTCGGTACCTCATCCTTTGTGAACAAGTGTGGCTGACTAGAATAGGGAACTTGCAATATTTTGATTTATTCTGACAAAACGGGAGTGCGCGGGAGAAGGGGAGAATACAGCTGTTTGTAAATTTATTTTGTTATTGCCCCTTTTTTAAAAAGTACATTCATCGGATGGTTGAACAATATAAAATGTAGATTACCGTGAAATCTATGATGGCTGACAGAATTGGACAACGCAAATAGAGTTATGCTTTACGTTTAATCTATCACAGCCAGCTTTTCCGCAGGATCATGTGACCTACCGAGGATTTTCAATAGAAAACTGAGAAATAGAGGAGACCGGATACCAGCCTTGATCAAATTATAACCGACCACTTGCAGGATATGAATAACTAATTAGCTCTTACCGACACCCATGTTGATATACTACCAAGTAATTCACTTAGGTGTAAACAAAACTGCTGAGTATAATTTTCCAATGTGGTTTTCACATTTACCATTTTACCGGATAGTACTGTGTGTCCAATGGCAATAAGTGATCATAACTCACACCCTACTGAATTGTTTGTTTGTGTTGGACAGACTCAGTCGCTCTCGGCATTAACTTTTCGTTGCTCGTGAAAAAAACAGGTCTGAGTTTTTACATATTGCAAGATGCATTTAACGGACGGTGTCAAAGCGCATTTGGTTTTACTCAACCGGTTGGGTCTGATTTTTCGGGAAACATGCAAGTAGTTCAAACTGCTCGATCCGCTGAAGAGAAAACCGGTCTCTTCAACTATGAAACAATGCAAAGACCGTTTACTTCAAACCGGATCGGTTTGTCTGGAATCAGGCGTTGGTATCGTTCCCATCTGTCCCGAAAACTCGGACATTCAAAAGTTCAGCCAGATCAAATGTTTTCTACATCCGTATCACCATCATCATCATCATCATCATCATCATCATCATCATCATCCGAATCATCATCGTCATCATCAAATCATCATCATCATAATCACCATCATCCGTATCATGCCGATTTAATCCGGATCATCATCATCAGCATCATCATCATCATCATCATCATCATTATCATTACGAATCATCATCATCATCATCGTCGTCATCATCATCATCATCCGAATCATGATCATCATTCAAATCATCATCATCATCATCATCCTCCTCCTCCTCCTCCTACTCCTCCTCCTCCTCCTCCATCATCATTGCCATTATCATCGTCATCATCATCATCTTCATCATCATCATGCCATCATCAACATCATCGTCATCTTCCGAATCATTATCATCATCATCATGATCATCATCCGATCATCATCATCATCATCATCATCATCATCCGAGTCATCATCCGAATCCTCATCATCATCTATCATCATCTGAATCATCATCATCCAAATCATCATCATCATCATCATCATCATCATCATCCGCATCATCAGCATTATCATCATCATCATCATTCGAAACATCATCATCGTCAACATCATTATCATCATCATCATCATCATCATCATCATCATCATCATCATCATCATCATCATCATCATCATCATCATCATCATCATCATCATCATCATCATCATCATCATCATCATCATCATCATCATCAAAGTCCATCTTGTAACGACTTACAACTGTGACTTATTTGTCACGAGCAGCGAAATTTTAACACACAACGGCCACCTTTCCTCACCACAAACTCACACACACACAAACGATTCAGGATGGGGTGTGTGGACGGACTTGTGAGTTGAGTTAACGCAGTTCCGTTGGATAAGATTCCCGCCGAACCACAGTGGAAGATTATACTCAGCAGTTTGTTTTCATCCTAGTGAATCACTTGGTTTACCTTAAAATTACACTTGCGTCTAGATGGAGCTCACCACATGGCGCGCCCTTCCATTGGCTGCGCTACATTTTCTCCCTCTCTGACTTATTCTGTTTTCCTGAATACCACATGATGACCACTCGGAAGGTCTATTCGCGGTCTCAGTTAATGAGTTTCAAATATGATCATCTTAATACTGTGCCTTTCGTGTCCTCCTCGGCTCATTTTCGGATTCCTACTAAAATTAAGAAACGCAAGCGCGGTGGCTAGCAAGCAGCGCTTAGTCGCACACCACCATCGAAAATAACTGTCCCCTCATTGGTCAGCACGAACATCCGGTTGCTGTTCGCAAAGATGACGGATCTAACGTGCACCCTTGATTCACGCATCCACCGTAACACGTGTGTTGTTTATATTCAAGACTCCTGGCTTGACCATAAGGTCGAGGACTCACTAAATAAAGTCAATGATTTTAAATGCTTCCGTAAGGATAGGAAGCACTGTAAGACAAAAACAGGAGGTGGAGTGATCACGTACATCAACTCAACCTGGAGCAGCAAGTCTGAAATTCTTTTGATTATTCCGCCGATGGCATTGACTGCTTAGCTGTTCGATGTTTCCTCAGATTTTCGCAATACTGAAGTACAATCATTATCAACTTATACATAGCCCCCTTTTGTACCCAGTCTCACATTTCATCTGTCTTTGATGCATTTATTCCGTTTTTCGTTCCCCTCATAGACGATAGTCTCTACATCATTGTTGTTGACTGAAATCATGCATCCACCTATCCCATAACTTCTTTTGGCTTAACTGATATTTGCTTGTCTCCCACAAGAGGTGATTCATTTTTAGACAAGGTTATTACTAATCACTCAGAACACTTTTGCCTAAAACTCACCGCACCTATTTCCAATAGTGATCATGTACTGATTTGCATAAGACCCACAGTCTACTCCCGTTCCATTCACAATACACTCATAAGAACCAATCAAATCACCATTCGTCTTCGCCATCTCTCCCCAAGAAACACCCTTCTTCTTAAGCATTCCATCAGTGTCGTTCCGTCGTGGTTTTCTTCTTATCCCTCCTTACACAATGCAGTCAACTTATTCATTGAAACACTTAACCACACGTTTAACATATGCCGCCTTTTTGAAACTCTATGTTTGTAACGGCAGAATAGCATCTCCACTGCTGAAATCATTCAGAAGACAGAAGGAACGATCGTACAAATCTAGAGACTCAGCGGCTGTCAAGCATTACACCGACTTGGTCAAAGCTGAAATCAACCACCTCTCTGCCTGGTACGCCTTCCATCTTCTGCTATGTAACAACAGTAAGCGAATTTGGTAAGGTATCCAATTGCTGTATAGGACCAAATCCAAAATATCGGATTGTTCAACGGATTTGGACAGTGTTAATGCAGTATTTATCCACCCATCATGCGATGCGATCATACCATTTGTTCTGGATGATGCCGTTCAAGTAGAGGCCGTCTCGAAAGAAGAAACTCATGAGCTTTTGCATCCTGTGAAAACCACGTGCAGTGTTGGTCCCGATGGTCTTTCATCTTCCCTTCTGAGATATGGGGCCTATCCTCTCAGTGAAATATTCGCATCATTTTTGAACAATTCCTTAAAAACCTGCTCTATACCAGACTGTTGGAAACCAGTAACAATTGTTCCCATTCCCAAATCCTCTACTTTAAACGTTCGAACCAAACGCTTTCGTCCTAAGGCTTTAACCTCTGTTGGACTTAAATTAGCGGAACGTGTTGTTCTTAAGCGCATTCAGTTCCCCATTGATGTCCCATGTGATCCTCTTCAGTTTGCTTACAAATCAAACAGAGGCACGCTGGATGCAGTTTCCTCTCTTTTACATAAAAGTACCAAATCCTTGAATGACTCAGCGAAATCTGTCCATTGTATTCTGGACTACTTATCTGCTTTTGATTCTTTCTATTCCCCGTTCCGTTCTTCTTCATAAACTGGAAACCTTTGGTTGTCCTAGACAGTTATTAGCCTGGCTTGATAATTACTTCTCCGGGAGAACTCAGTGTACCAGGTTAGGTCGAAAGAAATCCAAACTGTTGTTGAATATCCTTGGAGTACTCCAAGTTGCAGTTCTTTCCCCATACTTATTTTCTATCTGTACTAGTGACTTGTGTGCTTGCGCCTTTATTTCTCTCTTTAAGTATACTGTCGATGTGGTCCTGTGTCAGGTCATCTCTGACTTTTCTGGTCTTTCACAATTTTCTGACAACTTGGATAACGTCCAACGGTTTTCCGCTACAGTGGGCCTATATCTTAATCTATCCAAATGTTTCGAATGTCTCTTTACGCTATCAAGCTCTTGTTTCCCGTCTGAACCGGTATCGATTGGTTCCCAACCAGTATCCCGGGTAAATTGTAATAAATACCCGGGCGTTTTTATTGGTACTAATCTTCACTGGACCTCTCACATTAAACACATCGTCAGTAAGCTTTGACGATTTTCTTTTCATATCCGTAAACTTCGTCAGTTTCGTATTCCACAATGAATTATTTCCAACTTTGTGTATCAGTGTGTTTTCCCTGTTTTACTTTATTGTTCACTTGTTATTTTTCCCAACCTCCTTAAGAAAGATTTTAATTTGCTTTGACGTGGATTGACCATCATTAGCCGTGTCTGTTCAATCCCACTAAAGGAGTTGATAACTAATCTATGCGAACGTCATTTGAATGCGCATAAGAGTCTCATCGACTCCACACATCCGCTACACACCGACCTAACTTCCTGTTGTTCCTATCCCTCAACTAGATCACAATATGGCTGTGTTCCCTCTAGCATAAACATTTATCGTAGCTCCACAGTAACCTCATTAGCACGTATTCTTGTTAACAAAGAACAGGGTTTCACAGAATTTGTTAACAGTTTTGGAACTTAGATCTCTTTTCTTCATTGTTATTTTCATTTTCTCCCTTGCTGCAAACTATATATGTTTAACTGAACTGTGGGATTCATGCTTGCAAAAGTTATTACAATACAATACAATGCAATACAATGCAATTTATCAGATATGCAGTATATTGTTGACATTTAAGTACTAATTAATAGTCGGTAGTTGCTTTTGGGCCATAAAAACAACATCACGTTTTGTGATGTTTTCTATGTAAATACGCAGCAAATGAATAAAGCCATTCACACATGCTTTCTGGTGAAAGGAGACATTCATTCTTGGCAGAGCCTAGTTTGATCAATGGCTTCTAGCACGTATTAGCGAAGTACAACACTTCCCCAGAATCATATAATTTAATTAATCAACTGATTCCCATCTGCGAGTGCATACACACTCATACATACACAGACACTGACAGAAACTTTCGTGTCTTAAAAATTCTCGTGAACAGCTCCACAAGGTGGCATCTGATATTGAGTTTACCGATTAGAATATTATTGTCTTGCCCTCGTGTTATGTTTTGTTAGGTTTTGCTTTAGAAGCTGAAGAAAGACGTGGCTTGATTCATCGTTCTTCTGAGTCATTTCAGTGTAGATAGTTTAACACTTGGCATGAGGATTGACAATCATGAACCGCACACTGTTTCCAAGCCTAAAATAGGGATAGGCTTTGAACCATATTGGATGACTACTGTACTCTCACCCGGTTAACAAACATGCTCGTTATATTCTGATGTTATGTAGTTGATCAATCAAAACATCCGAGTCAGAGTTGCCGGTTCTGTTCGCAACATTATATGAATCACGACAATGCACAATTACGCAAATTATTCGTTTTTCAGTCACTCCCATTCACTTGCAAAGCAACCAAAAGAATTCATCATCCTCACCAACATTTGCGAGTTGAACTGAAATATTGATTCTATCCTCCAATTTTTCCATTCTTCTTCTCCTCTCGCTCTATTTTCGATCGAACACACAGACCTCTCGGTATCAGACGCTGCTCTGCTTTTTGTTCCGCAATACACTTTTCACTCCTCCTTTCCATCCAGAGCTGGCGTCTCTGCCTCGATCCACCAATCAGCCGTCTTCTCCAGAATACCAAAACTTGAATTACCCCGATCGTGGATTTCATCTGATGCAGTTACAGCTTTGATCTACTTGTTTGAAACATCACCTGTTTTGGTTCTCCTTCACCCAAATTGGCGACTTCTTTATCGTCGTTGTTTGTTATCTTTTATTATTGATCAAATTTTAATGAGTAATTTCAAACGCCACGTAAATACTTTGTCAGATTTTAACCTTCACAAATAGGAACGGTTGACTTATATCTGAAACGTCTTCTGCGTGTCGTAAAGCTGAACATTTCACCGTAACCAGTAATCTGAGTTGGTTAATTGACTTCCCTACACGTATGTGCAATCGAGTTGGAGATTGTTCATGATCTAATGTTCAATTTGCTCCCTTCTACTCCGATTATTGTTCATCTGTTATTTTTTCGAATCTCCTTAAGAAAGATCTTGAACTGCTTCAACGTGGACAGACCATCATAACAGTGTCCTTTCAATCTCGCTGGAGGAGTTGATAGCTGACCTGTACAAGCGGCCTTTGAATGCATATGAAAAGTTTGCACAGAAGATTCTTACCTACCCCACATTTCCACTACATACAAATTTAACTTCCTGTTGTCCCCATTCATCAACTGGATCCCAATATAGTTATGTTTCCCCTTGAATGAGCACAAATCGCAACTCTACGGTACAGCCGCATTTGATGAACATCGAGAAACAGCCAGATCCCGCTCGATATTTCAACCGAGATAGGCAAAAAGGTCTACTGGCGAAGCTGCCAATATTCTAATTCCCTTCGGCTCTCTTATTGCGGGTATCAGATTCCCTGTGAGCAAACCATCTCAGACTTAGTTGGTGGGGTTTTATTTCAGAAGTCCTCATGGATAATGGGGTTTCCCAAAGTTCAGTAGGTACACGCACTTTTTTTTCTCCTATTTATCAAATCACTTCTCGCCATGCGAGTGCAAAGGTTGATCACGACAACACTGCAGTTGAGATTTCATTAGATTCCGACCCTCAAAACATCTTCTTCTGGGATACCGCAACCATCTTGCAATAAATGCTTCCCAAACCTCGCTTTTTTCGCGCTCTTTGAAACACCACTCATCCGCCTCACTTGTATTCTTTGAATCAAAAGGATTTTGGGCAGCAGACCGTTTTTCTTCTTGGATTACCCATAACTTCGTTGTTATAACAAGTCTTTTTTCATATGTCAGCTTAATTCTCATGCTGCGTGCAAAGTAGGTTTTTTCCTAAGTCGGATGCGTTTGGGACCGGCTTATACTTTACAAAGCGGAAATAAGCCCTGTATGTGGCTCCCACAACCATTAGTGGAGTGAGGCTTCGTATTTCGATCTTTCCTCTCTTTATCGCGCTCAGCAGAAGTCCATCCAGGCGATCAACAATCCTTATCTAACATCCGATTTGTGGTCACTGGCCCATTTTCGGGCCGTTTTTGTTTTTGGAGGCGCACTGCGTTAGTTATCTTCACGTTATGTACTTACCACTTCCGTACACAAGCAGCTATTTATTTGTATACAACTTTCGTCACCAAATTTTGTACTCCTCAGCGTTAATCTTTTGTTTGAACCAGTAACCTATGGAACACATTTTAAGAGGTTGCTTTTTCATCCAGATAAGGTTTTTCTTCCTGTATAAATAGGATAAATGAACTGTTTCTTCCGTTAATTTCCCCCTGTATTTTTGTTCTACACTATGTATTTTGGCAGTGAAGTTGGCCACTTCTACTATAATTAACTCAGTGTAATAGGAAAAGTCGACGAGACCTTTCAAGTGTCTCTTCCTTGCGACTAATTTCGTACGTGACTGTCTTTGGGAAGTGTAATCAAAATGTCACTCGACCTACTGACAACCTAAACACACCTCTGACTAATCCCATGACTCAGTTAGTGGTCAGATGACGAGCTTACTTATAATTCGGATTGGCCTTCCAACCAGCGCTGAGCAGACGTATGAATGTTGGGCCATGGTCAACCGAGTAGACAGCTTGTCATCCCCATATGTCGTCTACTTGTCCTTGGTGCCACCTAAATATGGGAATTTATTGCATATTTTTGGGTGTGAGAGATGGGAATGGTACTGGTCTACTTGCCCTGGTTTCATGTGCAATAATGATGATTGTGTTTGAATGTTTTCTCCAAGAGCTGGACTATTCATGATAAGCGTTCGAAAACGCCATTGTCCTACGGTTTTTCACTCTCCACTCACTTCGGCCAAAATGGCAATCAGGATGCAAGAAGAAAAATAGCAGAGTAGAAGATGTAAGCCAATACAGTCTACTAGATATCATGCATCAGAGTGTCCTAGCATTACACTGGTGCCGATGAATCCGGAAAATCTATTTTATTAAATGGTAACTTCAATATCCAGATGATTTTCGTGGCTCAACTTCAGATGCTAATTAGTGCTCTCTAAGTTTGTGTATGGCAGTGTGTTTCAAGCCGGGAATTCGCCTCATCCCAAAAGACACTTGGATCTCTCTCAGGCTTATTTTTGCACACTATAGTGCCCCCAAACAATTAACGTCAAATGGAAGGACATTCTCATTCGAAGTTCGAATCCAACCCGGTCAAACGATTAAATTCTGAAAAGCGGTGTGTGCTAACATCACAGGGGTCTAAAGGCATTTAAATCGTATCTCTAATGTCATATTACAGTCCCTAGGGCACTTTTGCTTCACTGAAAATTATTCATACTAGTAAGTATTCAATAAAATCAATCAACATGATGAACACAAGCTGGCATATATATATATATAATCCGTACCTATGCTTTAAATGGAACAGTGAACAGTGAAGTTCTTCCTGAATATGCATCTGTTGTTTGTCAAGGCATAAGTTTCTCTTATGTGACATACCAGGGCGCTAGATACATCATAATGGTCCTGTCATGGAGCAGAGGAAGCAAATTTAACTAGGTGCACAATAAAATTTGCTATTTATTTCAAGAAACAAAAGTAAACGATGAGAAAACAGTTTTCCTACGTGATAGTTATACCCCTGAGACAGCAACTGCGAACACTTCCAAGGTAAACTGTTCGGAACGGCGATCCATGAGAAATGTTTAATACACGGATAACCTTAATTACCACTTTAGCAAGGCGTTTGCGGCTTAAAAAAGAGACAAAAAGGAGACGATTTGCTCATGGGCATGCACATGAGAACCACCCAAGTTATGGTCTTGGTAGGATAATGAAACTGTAGGCAGTGTATTTGTGTTTAAGTGCATGAACATTGTTTACATATAAGATTACAAAGAAATTGAAATTTCCAAATAATATTGCTTTCGGAGAGAAGAAGCTGTGTGTTTGCAGCCATAGTACAAGCTATCGGATTTTCAGCTGTTAGTGAAATGCAATGATATGCGCCTTTTCTGAACTAGATAAACAAACTAGACAACCCACAAGGTTTCTTGGAGCGCATGTGAAAAAAACCATCCAGCGTAGTTTAGGCGCATTTTCTCTGCAGGGCGATTAAGTAACACCTATTTGGGTCTAATAATGAGGTTTTTACGTTTACATCAGGACCGATCGACTATCACACTGTGGGTAACTGATGCCATAACTCCAATACCATATAACCCGATTGTGAAGGCACTACTCAGCAGAATAGGTGGATACTGATAAAAACCCAATCGGGAAAATGGGCCAACCTGGGCCTCTGGCTGCTCACCTTTCACTGTTTACTAGTTGTGCAATCAGTCTCATCCACATGCATGTTTGTGGCATTATCACGCTTACAAACTGTCATTGGAAATGGGAATTGTTTGTAACGCTCGGTTCTATGACAGTGATCTTTGGAAATCAGTGTGAATAAAGACAAACTCTTTCGTACCTGTTGACATTAGCGCATTGAACTGACTGGACCAGATAGATTTGGGGGTACATAATCGTTGCTCGTGACTACTACCCACGCACACGGTGCCCGGGCGACATGTACGTTGTCTTGTCTGTACACTGGTAGACATATCACACGGGGACCATGCGGACCACGCAAGCCAGTTTCGCTCATAGCCTGAAAAGATTTCGGGACAGACAAGTGGGGCAATCTATGATGATGATGGTGTTGATGATGGTTCGGATGATGATGACTAATATTATCTCGCAACTCCATTGAACCGAAGTGTATTATCAGTTAGTTGGTAAAGATAAACCCGCCCTGTAAACATTGAGTAGAAAATTAAGACACTACATTTTAAAATCCAGTTCTAGTCGCCGGAATAACTATCTTTCACTGGAGATTTTTCTGATTGTATTCTATCAGAAGTTTGGTTCTCAAAGACATTATTTTTGGTGTGATTTATTGAGGAAAATACAGAAAGTCATCAAACGATTGTGTTAGGTTAAGAACCGTCTCATGCCTAGTAAATCCAGGACACAAATTTCGACCTGCTAGAAAATAGTTAGCTAATAAGTATAGCTGCTAGGCCATGACAATACCACCATTAACTGTCGTGCAGGAATGATCTGTGAGACTAATCGTTGCTAACTGGTAGCAATGAAAAAAATGTAAAATAGTTTTGGAACAAGATAAAACTTACGTGTACAATTAATCACTTCCTGTGTCCCAAGAACACATTCAGTTCGACTGAGACAAACACGACAGCGACAGCTACCGTAAGGTCGACTGTATATTTTGACCGGCACACTGGCTTCATCGATCGCCTCATAACGCGGCGACTCATCACCATCTAACCAACGACAAGTGTACCAACTGGACCAAGCACCAGACTGCCCTTTCGGACCAATACTTTTATCCTCGGTGGGGCATTGTGCATTTTCAGGACGACTTCGATCGATCGACGGTGAATAAGCATTGAACCAGGATGTGCTACTTCGGGTCGTGGTTGTCGAGAGAAAGTCATACCCGTTTGCACAGCGCGATTCAGGCCAGCTCCAACCGCAATGCGGATCATGGGAACGAATGCATTCGTCATAGGTTTTATAAATTGCACAATCTGTCAACGGTAACCAAAGCAATTGTCGGTCTGTGATGACAAAGATTCGCGGGAACTGAAAAAACGCGAAAGGATGAAAGGTCACAAGGAATTTCGATGTGTTTATTGTCACTAAACTTGGTTTCAAAGGTTCAACTCTTATCGACTAATCATTCATTTAGTTAAATAGACTGTAATTGTGTTCCTGCATTCGTAAAAACATTCAGTTACCTTTAGTGATCCCACAAAATGTTCCTTTTCTTTTCGGAACTGGCGCCTGAACATGTCCGATTTTCCTTTTTATATACCATACACATCGTGTTCCATATCACTAAAACCGCTTGATGCTCAGCTAAACGAATAACGCGATTCATGGTGTTATGTAAAGATTCTGACCCGACATATTTATCGTTTCACTATCACAATGTAGGCACTCGTGTGTGTTCTTTTTTGAGTCTCACTAGTACAAGGCTTTTAACTGAATTTTCCCCTAATACGTTATTTTTCTTGCCACTGTAGGACGAATAAAATGAATTTCAATAAGATTGATATACAGCAGATAGACGGCTAGTGTTCCCCTAATCACTGTAAGAAATTCAGAAATTCAGTGAGAGGGTGCACGCAAAATTGTGCATTGGGTCAAGTATTCGGTATGTCAATACTCATGTGAACCTATTAATTCATTCACTGGGAGATTCAATAATGTCACATTTAGGGTTCCTGTCAATATCTGAGCTATATCATGTGAACAGCTTCAGCTCTCTTAGATTGAATTAAATATATAAATTCTATATAGAAGGTAACTAGGGATTTGTAAATTCCAAAGTGCACTACAATTCTGCTCTCAAACTATATTATTAATTCAGAAAGCATGCTCCTTGTGCATATTGAAATGCAGACTAGTTCTAAATATCTAACGTGCAGATCTTTTAGAGTGGAACAATGTTGTGTGCGGGGATTCAAACCGAATACAGACAGTAACGTATAGAAAGGATGTTTTCTGACTTTGATCTTGGAAAAATTGCCCCGCCTGATTTAATTTGGTTTCCTATAGACGTTGCTAGTTTGGTCCACCTGGGGCGAATTTCATTTTGGTTCTTATTTATTACAAGACCTGCAAAAACAGCCTAATCGGATCTTAACGGATATTTCGGTATTCAGAATATATTCCACCTCAGGCAAGCTGCGCACTGCTATCATACAGTGTTTTCTCATTTCTATCACATCTGCAACACAGTAAAGCGGAAGTGAAACATTTAGGTATATTCATAAGGCAACTATGTTACAATGCAGTAAGTAAGTGTATTCGTCGATAAGAAAATAAATAAGCTGAGGATGACGGTGACAATGAGGTTTTTCTTTTTTATGTATGAACTCGAAAAGAAAAGCAACAATGCGATTTTGTTTTAGGATAAAAAAATAATAAAAAACGAAGTGCGTACCGTCTTCAAAAGCTTTATTGTTTCTCAGATATTAAATAAATTCCGCCTTTGGATTGGGTTGGATTTGCGAAAGACAGTATATTTATCGACAAAGTGCTTAAATTTGTTTCATAGTTATGTACGGTAGGAGAACAGGTGAAGCCGTTATTTGTTTGATAATAAAATCTTTGTGCACATATTTTTGTTCACATCCCCTTAACAAGTCACGTGGAGAATGAAACCCTGGTAGCGAAACGGGAAACCAAACATGTTTTTTTTCCGTTTTTATGATTAATATCGATTGATAAGAAGATTGGTTTATCCAAATGCAAACGACTTGAATTTGGAGGTTTCAATTCATTCACCAAAATCACACAATGTTTTATAGATTCATATTAAATCAACATGTCTAGATGGAACCATAATACAACAAAATCAAGCATATACCGTAAATCTGGCAGCTAGGATACAGAACAATCGCATAACTAAGAGCTGATCATGTAACAGCAATAAGTAAAGTATTCTATGGAATAACAGTTCGGTTACGGAATGTTTGGCAGCCAAATAGGTACACAAAGCCTACAAATTTCTCATTACAAGTTCAGATTTCTCAGACCAGCTATCTGTCTAAATAAGGACAGATTAACTGCACAAATCATTATTATTGATTTATTTAATTAAATGGAACTGGTAATTCTACCGAGCCCCACTGTGAGCTGGTTGGTAGACGCAAGCACCCTTCCGGTAGGGAGACTGGTATGTAAATCCTGGAACATATACGTGTTGTACACTACTCTGATGAGAGTAAAACTCGAATCTAGCGATTTCCGAGTTTATCGTTGATTGAGGAAATTCAAAATTATTAGTGAAAATGAAGCTATTAGGTTGATCAACCAAATTGATAACAATTATCTCACATGTTTACTCACAAGTAGCTAAGATAAAAATGAACTAAATTAGACTAGATTAGGAAAACCAGTTACCAAAAAATTCAAATAAAACGAACGGCACTTCACTGAATGGTATTCATATTTGTCCTACCAACTACGTTGTTTATTTCTCACAATAAATTAGAAATTCGAGTGAACCACCGGAATGAATGTTGTGATCAGAGGTGATAGGTATTCGGATGTAGGGAGCACTATTACACAGGGAAATAGGGTTTTTTTATCACTCCGTTACACACGATATCATCGTGAACGAGTCTTGTGATGATTGTATTGACTCGCAGACAGGGTGTTTAAAACCGCCGAGGAGTGGCTGCAGGAAATTTCCTCTTTCTGACGATCGATGAGCGAGGACCACTAATTTCTTGATAATCATGTACATCCCGCAAACAAACGTTCGACATCAGCAAAAACGGTGGTAATTAACTCGATGAAAAAGTGCACAAGTGTGGTTGTTAGCGGTGAGCATATAGCACATAGCACCAAGCATAGGCTTGATGACTGCATCTTCGAATCCCGAAACCACTTAATGTTCTTTCGCTCGGGAGCGAGTTGATTTCCCACTAACCCTTATCCCCTTCCAGAAAAAGATCATCAACGTATTGTAAATTGTACATTAGACTAAAGGAGATAAAATAATTAAAAAAGCGTGAATTAGTGTTTGAAAAATTAATTGACCTTCAGCGCAACGTAGAAGCAGTTCTCATCAAACCGGTAATACGGATCCAAAATCGGTTATGAAAGTATCTTACAGCGTAGTTTGTGATTGCAACGACTTACATAAACACCAATTTGGCGTATTTCCTCTGGCTGATCTCTGATCAATGAATGATCAACGCGTCTCGAAGCTCGTGGGATATAGCGCAGAATCAGACTGTCTGAATCCGCGTTTTGGGTGTGCTTTATTCCTGGGGTCTGTGCACCGATTGGCGAGCCTTTACCATTCGTAAATGACTCAGACCGGCTGAGTAAATCCAAACTTCGACCGAGCAACAGCTCATTCAGTTTACACACAACCGGCGGTCTCATTGCCTGATTCTGAATCGCCTTCGGGTCCTCGTAGATAGCCAACTTGGTGAGACCCACTTTTGTACCTAGCCATACCACGGTTGTATGCGCTGGGTTGCTGTATTGATAATGTGTGGGTAATGAAGGCAAATTGTACGCTTGCAAATGAATCCAAGCCACTCCGGTTTGGACTATTAAGGCCTTTTTGTACATTGGTTGTATCGGATTATTCCGGTTGGGGAATGTGAGTGAAATACGGCGGCCCTTGGCCAGTTCTTTCGAGGTGAGATTGTTCGAATTGAACCTTTGACACTATAACAAAAGATGCGGTTAAAAGGATGCATTTAGTTGAAGCAAGAAACATACATGAATGGCACAGAAGTATTAAATGTATGTAATAATAACATTAACTCCAGTCAATTTCTTTTTAGAAAAGACATCTTTTCTACTTTGGGTTATTGTTTTCTCAGAGAAACTATACAAATCCAATTTGTTTATGGTTAAACAGAAAGGTCTACGACCACAGGCTTTGGTTTCGAATATTTCCGTTTAACTGTTTCAGTCTGTATCACTGATAAGGTTAGATTAATACCGTCCGGGGTTTGAGACCTACCACCCATGTCCAAATTCGGTGGTAGGCAGTTTTAATAACATCTGACTGAATACCCCATCTTATGTGGTTCGTTACTTCCAATCACTTCTCGTAACCAACCAACAAATCGTCATGGCTATGAAGGTTGTTTTGGTGTCAATGTGCTGTAGATGAGCTATGTGCTAGCTTGATAGCACAGCTAAAAGGAGGTCAAATTTCTTTGACATAAACTCATCGATTGTCCGACACTGGTTTGAAGAAGTATTTGATCCAGACACCGATTTTTAAACGCAATGCCATTCAGAATATAAACCTCAGGCACCAGATTCTTGTTTGTATTATTTAATTTTACACATGGTCCGGGGATGAACGAGGTTTCACGCTTCATCGCCATCAGTATTACCAAGAAGTGTGCCTCTTGAAGCGCAGACTGGGCACCTCGTATCCACTGCTATCCTTTAATGACAAAGTTCTCATAGATTAAGAAAATCAATANATAGCCCCCCCCCCAGATGTTGATCTGACTAAGGCCATCGGAGGCATGCTGTTCAGTTTGAGTGAGAGTTGTGTTGATTTCTCACTGGACAGTTTGCTGATTGTCTTCACAACAAACCTTTGTCCGTCGATAGTTCCAGCCCACACCGAGGCTCAGTATCAATCTGGTTGTCTGTTGCATCAGTTCACGGGGACTTTCTGCCGCACACATCAGTCCAAACATAGTATATATATAGGTAAATAAAGTAGGTACATAGAACTGACCCCTTTGTTACTGTGAGCATGATTTTGCAGTAGTTACTCTTCAATCATTTCTATCCTGCGTCCAGTGTACTTCTAAATTGTGCTTTTTATCAACCTGAAGAATGTCCAAAATACAATCTTTTAGTTTTGGCTATTTAACAAACTTATGCGGATATGTTATCAAAAGGAGTCTATCGATAACCTTCGTACAGTTTGTAGAGAATAGCCACCAGAAAGAAATAGTTTATTGTTTATTGATGGAGCGCAGTTGGATGTTTTTATTGATCTCGGAGGAGGAGGAATACACTTATTTTTTATCACAGTCATAGCAATTGCTTGATTCTCAGTCTCACAACAAACGAAATGGAATTCAGTTCACCCGAGCTACGCAAACTGCTTTTCAATATTTTTTCAACAGAGAGTTTTTAGCTTATTGCGTTGATAAATTACCATCATGCATCACGATGAAGAACAAACCGGCATTCCCCGACTGCTCATCAGTCGGAATAATCGTATTTGATTTGAAATTGAGGCGCACGGAATTTGATTCACATCCTTTGAGAAGCTTTCAAGGCTTTATTCTCCATTCTATCATTAAACAAGTGACTCCAGCGATGAGGACGGAGACGTTTATCTGAAGAAAAACAAATTTGGTATGTACCATCTGTGCATCAAACCAGTTGGTTAAGGTACGCGGTTCGGAAGGCACACATGATGACGGCGTTTTCCTTTCTTGAACAAAATATGAGTGAATCTCACTGTCTACAGTACATTATTACCACGAGTGCGCATCAAGTTCTGACAAAGCACTGGTCGATTGGAATCACTTGAACGGGAACCGGTATGTACGGGGCCCATACCAATTTTACTGCAGATGGAAAGACAATGCCTCGCGGCAACAACACTCTGTTACTTTCTTGTGAGGACCTTTATCTATAAAATCAGCAAAAACAGCTGCATCACCCAAGCGGTTAAAACATCAGGGATGGAATAGCAGAGATCAGTTCCAAGTTGTCGTAATTCATAAGTGAGCATTGCAATTAAATAACCTCTCCTATACCTGACGGTGCTAGTAGAGTTTAGTCCCCAAGGGAGGACAGTTGAGAAACCTGAGAATGATGAAAGTTGGATTGTGAAGAGTTGCATCAATTTATAGACGTGCACGTGTTTAATGGGCGGGGTATTCATTTCTTGTATACACATAAGAGACCAAAATCATTCAAATGGGATAGGTGCTGACCCAAATGAAATTTAAAGATGAAAACAAAACACCCATGAGGCCAGAGTCCAGAGGGATATTTCGGGAATTATTTATATCAGTGCGTGCGTATTTCAACCACTGTCCGTTATCGCCCCGGCGATAGAATAGTCCAGTTGCAATGAACACGGAGAGAACCGAAAGTACTTTTAATTGGTGTAAAACACAAAAGAAAAAAGATACTCTATCTCTCTCTCATCCATGTATTCAAGAGAGCAAGACACAGAAGATTGAGAGATTGATGCACCCCCTTTCACGAATACAATGTGGTGGACATCTGCATTATACTTATGGGGGCATGATTGTTCCGAAATTTCCAAAGAAGGACTGCACGTTATGCTAATTTAGAACGGAAATGAAAATAACCAGGCTGAGTTTGATAAGATCTAATTTGGAAAACCCAGCATAGGTGAAGTGGTTGTACATATTCGGGGGGAGATGGATGAATAAATCGAACTGATGAGATTCATGGCTGTATGAAACTGCAGGTCGCCAGCAACTCTCATTGAGTCTGTGAGTAGGAAGCAAACTTATCCCAAGGTGAAAATGTTTCGGACCAATAAAGTCATACAAACAGTAACACAGAGAAGTCTCTCAGTTTGTGAGCTGCATTCATCCCACTAATCAAAGGTGAAAGAAAACGTTAGCCTGGTGATACTTGTGAAATGTTGCGAACAACAATGCAGTAAATTGGAATAGTGGGAAAATTAACAGATTGGATTATTCGACACACATTCAATGTTAATGCTGTCAGATATTTCTTATTTTTTTTAAGTGATTTGTCACACTAGGAAAACGCTTCATCACTACTGTTTGCGAACGATGCTAAAACCTAGAGTAAGTGGTCAGGTGTTTCCATTCCCGGGACGTGCTGCTGGATTCAATAAATGGTGAACTTATAAAGGCNAAGGCAATGAATGGATCAGACAGCCCCCCCCCCCGGAAAGTGAAACTTAGATATCATTTCGGATTTCATGTACTCTAAACAACGTAAAACTCTAGACAACCAAGTCAGAAGAGAATTCTTTGGTGTTCAACTCAACATCTTACCATGGAGACACTGATGTGTCTGTTACCTTACACATGGTCATGGTTAGACGCCATATGAAGCATTGATTACAAGTGTGGACATCATACTTCGGCAGAGATATAAACTGCATGGTTAGGACGTAAATTTTTGCTACCAAAATGTCAGTAAAACTGAGGGACATAGGTGAGGAACCGAAGACACTTGAGCCCCTTCTATTTCTTGTTTTTACAGCGACAGCTCAAAGAAGGCTCATTTGAAATTCAAAACCTTTAAGGATATATTCGACGTCAACCCTGAAAATAGCTCTCGTTTTCCACAGACTGTAGAGTAACAAAAAAAGAAATAGTGTATGTCAAAATCTTGAGTAACAGATTGATATCGCTGTGAAACAAGCTACTCGAAGAGGTGGTCAACTGTATGACCAGGAGGAGTTTGAGAAGATATTCAGTGATGTTTAGCATGATATTTTCGTGGCGTATTAATGTGTGTTTAAGCGAAACGTGGCATTCCATAAAAATTCTTTCTCTTGGAGATATCCTATTGAAATAAACCGTTTGGAGCACAAGAAGCTGTTGGATGTACAACAATTGGATGTACAATTGACCTGGTACATCGAACGTTTTGTGTAAGCTTAACTGAACTGACCTACTCTCTAGCATCACAGTCTGGGTAACAAATCTCCTTTTTGTTGTAGAGGTAGCATACTCAAAAAAGCAATCTAATTAAGTTTGACTGTATTGGAACAGTTTACAACTTTCAACCTTCCCAGTACGTTCATAGTCTATCTAGAAATTATCAGTTCTTGACTAAGCTGAAAAATGCGATCAGTACTGAAGTGAATGGTGTGTTGTCAAGAAATAACTTGAACCAAAACAGTGAGAGAAAAGCTTTATCACAGGATTGAGAGGAAACACTCAAGGCTTCTTAGTCTATTAAGTTTATTGCTAATCTGATCTCATCTGAAATTACTAAATGGTAACCTTCATTTTTAACCGAATGATGCAGGAGGAGATAGGATAAACTAAATTACGGGTGAAACAAACATGTCTGCTTTAATGCAAATCGATTGCCCGGGTGTGATGAACCTGTACGGATGCAGTCTTGAACAGAAAATAAAACATTGGAAGGAAATGTCTACATGAGGTCTGGAATATTGAGGCAGAAGTTCAACCCTGCAAACATTCTGCACATTAGGTGCAGTTTGGCGCTAGAGGAATCGGTTGCTGCCTCAAATGTGGTGGTATTTTGAGCGACCTAACTAAGCTATCAATGACCATATGCAGAAGTATGCAAATAGACCAAGTCTGTATGCATTTCGTAAATAGGTTACTTGTCCTGTCACCAACATCATAAAAGATATAGTACATTATCCGTGGACTGAACCAGAAGATCGCATTCCTTCTAACCGATCAGTCATTTGTTTGCAACATGGTTGAAAGAGCAGGTTACTTCACACGACTTCGAGTTGATCCGTATCTGGCACATAGTGCTGTGGCATTCTAGATTTGAAATTCCATCATAATATTTGGGAGCAGAATATGCAAATGTGCTCTGTGTGCAGTTGTATCACGGGGCAGTGAGTGGCGACATGAGCGAAACAAATCCAGACACAGCTATGATCTGAATTGCATTGCATTCATTCGGGCAGAGCTGCTCACGTGTGATGATTTAGCCACATTTGATCAGTCCCAAAATGATGTGTGCATAGTTAGCTGAGCAGGTATGCTACGTACTTAATAATTTGGGTATTCTCCCTCACTTTTCATTAAATGAAAGGTAACAGTGAATGAACCTGTTTGTTTGAGGGTCTCGTCCTAACAGATTAGCTTAGCTAATGGGGTTTCTTTGAATGATTTCAATAATTAAATGATAATTTGAAACACCAAAAATAGAACTTTGTCGCCAATTAACAGCATATCGGAAAGAATGTTCAATAATTCTCACAATGTTGGGAAACGAGTTTGGAAAAGGTGTTGGATCCTGATTGCTTCCTGGAATGATGGATTGAAGAAGAGGACCACTGAACGCTTCTTCGATATCATGTTTGCTGTAAACACAAAGCGCACTTCCAACTGGAGCCCATCTGTGAACAAAACGTGAGAGAAAAGAAAATATGACAGGTCAGTTGTGGGTCACCGCATTCAATGAAGTTTATTAGCTTTCGAGTGTGTGAGCCAAAAGAAAACTATGGAGTTTGAATCCGAAACCCGAAACACAACACCCTCGATTGATGATTTGCCGTGTGTGCGTAGATGAAAAAGAACTCTGTTGCATTTGAAACTGGCTGACGACAGCCATATGAATTCACAACTATCGGATTCTGCGTGTTATTGTGCTTTGGTTAAATCACAGGAAACACTTCTGGCTTCTAAAAATGAGCGCTTGAAACTAAATTTGCACATGTTTATATTTGTGAAATTATGAACCCATCGGGAAAGTTACTTAACTTTTTGCATCAAACTATGATGAAATTAAAAGATGAGCTTTTATCACGGCATCAGTCGTTAGTGCACTTTCGATTGCGATTGCATGGACTGTCTCAAATGATAGTATTCACGATGAATGACTTTTTATAGAAAAGCAATTACTTTGTACACAAAGACATTTGAAAGTTTGCAGTACCATCACGTCAGAATGATAACGTATTGAATCGAGTCATAATCACCATAGGCTTGTACTCACATGAACGAAGTTGCCGAGAATGATAGTGAAACAAGATGTTTTCTTTACCGTGTGTAAAATAAAATGTAGTCCCCCAATTGAACGAAAGGGTGCATTGTGTCATGCTCTCTTTCGACCTCAGTAGTATTTTGCACTCTCTTCTGGCGAATTTTAACTGAACCGCAGATCAGTGTATTTTCTCGAAAGACTGACTAATAGAAAACTTGGTTTATCGTAAGCAATCTGCATTCGGATTAAAATTTATTATCCCATTGTCAACACTGCTTTCTTTTTGTCCTAGCTTATATGGACTGTTTATTTTCTTACAGATAGTTCACCTCAGACCAAACGGCTTGGACAACAAAACTTGCCATAAGTAGTTTTGTAGGCATTCAGAAAAGGATTCATGTGTAGCAGATAAGATAAGCGTATCGTTGTCAGCAATCTTTCCTAGATAGTAGATCAAAATAACACCAAATGAATGTTTTAGCAATAATAATTTAAAATACGGTAACTTTGTCATAACCTGGACATTTTGCTGCATAGAACAACCTCTGCGATCATTCCAACAGTGACGATTACTCCCAATAAGGTATGATCAGAGAAGTGAAAGCAGATGCGATTGATTACTGAATTGGCTGACCAAAACACTGAACAGCCGTTTCTTCTTTGTCGATACTCATAAGCAGTGTGTATTGAGTCTATCTATGCCTGAACTCGATCGGCGAACGCTCCGGTTGGGAGTCAGCACCCCTGAGCTACATTTTGGCGAATCAACCATTTAAGCGCATGTTTTTATTCATCTGAACAAAAAATCCTCCAAAGGCCTTGGTTTATTGGAGGAGCTCTCTTTTAACACGTTGAAAAGTAGCAGCTTAACCTGATGTTCAATCATATTCAAAGTTATTAGTAAATATTTCTAGCCTTATTAGGCTACCTGTATCACGCGCCCCGTGAACAGATTCGTTACAGTTTGTCACCACCGTTGGATTCTGAAATTTATCGACCAATTTGATCAATATGCCTGCTTTACCCATATACACAGAATGATTCGTGTTAAAAATTAAGGATGTTGTGATGAGAAGTCATGCTGCGTTGTTTGGGGTACCAGTCACTAGTCAACCGCACAAATACTCCAAGCGCGGAAAACACATTCTTGCCTACTGTCAGACTGCTCTAGATCACACTACTACCAGTTAGATGGCTGTACTTACAATTGTGAGTAACCATGTAACAATGTCCGTAATTTGTTTGGTAAGCTCCTGGATTTAGTCTACCTGCCTCTGCGAAAAAAAAATTCTCACTTATGGTACATTGTTTCTCCAGGACTCATGACTCAGTGATGATGTGGAGAATTCAGTGGCCCAACTGGGTAATTTCCTCTGTCCCAGACAGACTAGACCACGGTACAGGAAGAAATCGGGAGGCGGTGTGATTCCCTACATCAACTCAGAGTGGTGTAGAAAGGCCGATGTACTTTTCAAGCATTCATGTTATTGTAGATTATAAGCAATTGACAGGTTTTATGATCATATTCAATCAGTTTGTACCGTATCTCTTGTTGATACCTTGCACCTAAGAGTCGATGAGTTCAACGATGCCTCACTGTGCCCTTTATTCTGCCTAAACCTCAGTAACATCACTGAACTCACTAGAGGATACTCTCATCTATATCACAAAATCACTGGTCATGCCGACAAATATTCTATCAAGTATACCCCTTAGACCCCAGTGATCAGAGCCTAATCCTAAACAAACCTACAATTTACCAACACGCAGAACATTTTCTTTTACTCGACCTAAACAAATTACCTTCCATCTGATAAATCTTTCCCCAGATAATATTTATTACTCAGCTAAGAGAGTTTTCCTTAAAGTAGTTACCGACTGTTTTCCTACAAACGCAACCTGGTTGTCCAATATGACATCTGTAACAGATGTGTTAAACCATGTTTTCGACATGCGCTGTTCCTGTGATAACCCTGTTCCTTCAACGGGGTAGAATACTAACACCGTTCGTTAAATATCTTCGTCATGAAAAGGAATGTGCATTTAAATGTAACAGGAAGGATGCGATGCAACGACCATCTTTTTTGATCAAGAGTGAGATAAGACGTATGGATTCCATTTATGCAAGTCAGTTTTTGGTCGAGGGACTCTAAAGCTATGTGGTTCAAACTACCCGCAAAGCAAAAGAAAATGATTTTCAGTTCTTTTATAGATATTGAACAACTGGATGCCGCATTCATTCTTCGTCTGACACACGATCGTTATGTTTACCCGAGTTTTACAAACATTGAACCAGTTACCTCTAGCGAAATGTATAAACACATGCTTACTTTCTAGGT